TTACAGATTTGAAAGATGTATTACTCTTATCTGTATGACCAAAAATGAGGGATTATTTTAAGAGCAAGTGAGCACACCGGCACCTCCATCTGTCCTGCAGTGAGCGAGCTGCTGTTCAGCTTCCACAATCTGCACAGACGCCTGGATAGCGGACATTTCTCTAGGTTAACATTAGATTGAGAGGCTATGTAAAGTTGCTAATACTTACATATTTCAGATGATAAGACATATTTGAGAGGTTGATGAATGATAGTCGAGTGTTTGGATGTCCTGCACAATGTACTGTATTACCATAGACCAGCCGTTAATGATCTGTCCGTCACGGACTGCGTGTCTTCGCCTGTGGATTTAAAAAAAAAATTTCTGCGACTAAGCGACTAATCAAATTTTGGTTGACCAAGCCTCTTCTGGTTGACTAACGATTAGTCGACTATTAGGGGGCAGCCCTACGGATTACTTTGACATAGATTATTTGTTTTGGACGTGACTTGCTTAATTTAAAAGTAGACATTTCAAGCTTTCTATACATATATTTCTCATGTCTTTGAGGCAAGTATTCGCTGAGATTCATGTTGTTTTATACGTGACTGTGAAGAGAGGTGACAGAGACGGCGGAGAACGCACCCGGTTAATTTTCTTTATTTTACAAAAGCACATTGTTTTGTTGTTATTATGACTATACACAAATAAAAGTAGACCCTTTGCAGCTTCAAACGAGACCTTATTCTTATCTGTACGATCAAAACTGACGGAGTATTTTTAGTTCTTTTCACGGTCATAAGGAAAATACGAGACAGACCGCACCAGTGCGGGTTTCGAGCCAAGGGGGTTAAAGATGAATCCTTATTAAAGTTACAAAAGCTATTCAATCAAGAGCAGTGAGTAATTTCCTTGTATTTTGTTGTTTAATTAACACTAAAAACACAGACAGCAGATTAATTAAAAAAATTAATTAATTATATTGCCTGCTGTCACTTTAAGACAATGCACGGATCCAGTACACTGATACTGCATGTTCAACCGACTATGTCTACTAGGATACTCACCAAGACAGGCATTTTGACAATTTTTGTGTGAATTCATCCTTTCAAGCACGACTTGAAAACAAACTCAATATTTGCGCGCGTTCTGAGACGCGGTTTGCAGGCTTCGGATGCGCGCACACACAGAACTTCTCACAACGAGTGGGAGTTCTTATTTGCGTCTTCTGGCTCTTGAATGTTTAAACTGGCAATGCTTAAATGCATTTAGTTTAAACACAGATAGCAACGTGTGCTGTTCAGGTCTCACCTGCGCACGCGTGCTATCAACACCCGGGTGATGTAATAAATGACTGGTCGTATTCCAGCATATGTCACTCGCATTGAACAAAGAGTGACAAGTTTGTCCATTTTTTTTTGTTAATCGCAGTTGTTGTAATGAATTGGGAAGCCAGAATGTGTATCGATCGACATAAACATACATTAGCCGAACTGTTTTATGTGTTGTTATTTTTAACAAACAACACTACAGAAGCATTGTCAGATTTAAGTTGAACCGCGGTGCAAGTGTGTGTGTGCCGGGTGGAGGATGGTACGGTTTGATTTTTTTACCGAGAACCGTTACACCCCTACTATAAACCACGTAAGCTGATCGCTTTGGGGAAGTGATCCTCAAATACTGAAGCCTTATTCGCTTAACGCCTTTGCATCACAATGGCCAATGGCACTCAAGCTCGCATAAAAAGGGTGCAGGAAAGCGCCCTATATAAGCGGCGCCGAGCGGCATTTCATTACAATCTTTCTCCTTCATTTTTATGTTTAGGTCTTCGCTGCCTCAGCAAGGAATTTTGCCTGCTAGATCGCAGATAACTCCAGTCGCTTACTTAATCATATAAACAGCTCCCCCGACCCAGCGGCTGGTGCCAGCTACATGCTGGTGCTGCAGCAGCGCGTTACCCTTCTATGATAAGCTCCAGCTGTGCCGCTGTCTTCCAAAAACTGACCGCTATATGCTGGTGTTGCTGCCATGCATTGCCTTTCTGTGATGAGCGCTGGCTGAGTCACTCTCTTCATATAGATGTGTAATGTTGCTTACATTGACTGCTATATCGACTGGCGTTACAGCTAGCATAGTTATGTGTGACTGCATGTAAATCTAGCCCAGCTACAGACTCTTGCATAGAGCCTGAGCCAGCTGTGAAACCAGAGAACTCATGGCCGAAATGCCATTCGTTCCCAGAATGAGGAACGTGCCGCAGAGCATTATAGTCGGATCGACAATAAAGTTTACCCGCTATTTTACTCTTCTCTCTGTTTCACTGCCTATTGCAGGCACTATCACTGATTGTCTTTGTGGTTGTTGTGTCTTTGTGGTTGTTCCTATGGTTGTTCCACTGTACAGTGTGACAAGCTGGAAGACAAAATACAGGAGATACTAGCCTCTGTAACCTATCACAATTTTCTTTTCTCTCCCTTAAGACAGTGCCATTGTTTATACTTGCTTCTGTTAAGCAAGTGGATGATATGCATGCTCTCTCTGTCAGTGAGTCATGTATGGTTTTCAGACCTAATGACTGTAAGTTGTGCTTAAACCAAGAAAGATTACATATCCAAGGTGCTCTCAACAGCATTCAGAGCCTAGGTGATATCTCTCTCAGCTTTTACTCGGGCAAGTGTGCAGTGGGGGAGAGCCCCTCCCGCAGCCTCCCTGCCCTGTGCGCACTTTCCGCATTTATGTGGAGCGTACCAAAAAAAATTCAAAATTCAAAAACAAACTACTGGTGTGCAAGCTGACTATACGAGAGGCATGCCTCGTCTTGGTCTAAAGGGATATATGTGTTCAGTGGCTGGATGGGCTTGGCAGAAAAAAATGCCACGTTTCTAAATTAATGGCTTCCCGGGTCTTTCGGTTCAAGTCTGCGTGCTTGCTCAAGGTAGACCAGTTTTACTGCTTCTTGAGTTAAGTCGCTGCTATATGATTCATGTCATTGCTTGTGCCCTTAGCCGGGATGGCTGGGAAGCCCCGCCCCCCTTTCTGGGCTGTGGGCTTCCACTAAGTCTGCTAGGGAATGACGTCATGAATATGACTGGACCAGCACAGCTGCCAATCACTCACTCTATATTGCGGCAGCCTGATTGTTCCCATAGTGCGCATCGGTCCCTTCTATGTACCAGTCTTTGCAGTGATGCAGTGAGGAGGAGCACAGCCTTTTACAAAAACAGCAGCCTTGTGCGATGGTTGCCCGGCATTCCGTGCCTGGACAGACACAGTGAAATAGTAAATGATGACCTCCCTGGTGATTGGAGCAGTTCACATGTCTCTTAAGTGTTTCTACACTTAGGTCCATCACAAGCATGTTCTCGTTCGAATGGACAACATGGCAGCTGTGCCATTCATAATTGCCAAGGCGGTTCTAGTTCTCGCCCACTTCTCATGCTCGCGACGAGCCTGTAGACGTGGGCAGACCAGCACCTTCAGTCTGCTAAGCTGTCTGTCTCCCCGGCCATCTCAATCACAGGGCAGACATACGTCGAGGCACAGGGCACACCTTGCCCTGGTTCTCGGGACCTGAATGGCTAATTTCGTTCAGAAGAGATCCCCTCTCTCAAGCGAGCGACTCAGTCTGGCATCTAGCCTAGACTTAGGGAATTTGCGCGTCTGGCTACTCGACAGAGTTTGCCAACGTTAAACTCGCTGTCACTGCAAGTGCGGCACCGGTAAGCTCCACAACTGCATGTCTAGCTCCGGTTAGAAGCTGTTGTCTGGAATGTGCTGCTTATGTGTACTTGTGTACAGTGGCTGTACCATACATTGCGATTGCTGTTGAGTGTCGGTACGTTTATTTGACATCTCCACTTATGCTGAGCACCCATTGCAGTAACACGGCGTGAAGTTACACATTCCCCAAAGCGATCAGCTTATGCTGTACGCAACGTCGAGAGACTCTCTCGAAAGGGAATGTCTCCAGTTACTGACATAACCTCGATTACCTGAGAAGGGAACGTGACGTTGCGTTCATGCCGTGTTACATACACTCAGGTCTTTCATAAATTCTCTTAAGCCCTATTTGGACGGGACTAGTTTTCTAAACTACGTTTGAGTTTCGATTCATGTCACCTGACGTCTGTGATTTTCATGTACCAATTCGGACAGGACTAACACCTCCGTGTTTATTACAGAGGTGGGAGGGTCTGTTTTGTACATCTGGGCATTTCAGAGATCACACGCTCTGTATGCGTGCATTGCGTATAGTCATTTGGATTGATTACCACTATAATCACAGTTTTACTACAAATACCTTGGTGAAGTTAAATGGCTAGTATAGCAAAACCATGTTAATGTGTGGTTACTTTAGTTTAACCATTTAATTTTTTTATTTATTTGTAGTAAACCCATGTCTAATTTTCATTTAAGGCACATATGTAATTAAAACATTATGTAATTGAGTGCAGAAATTAATTCTTGATTTTATTATTGTTATTTATTTATTTTCTTTGCCGAGAGGAAAATATATCAAACGTGTGCGGTAAGAGCGTCTACAGTAATTCACATTGGCCAAAACACACAAGGAAACGCGTTGTGAAAAAAAATATCACCGGCAATCACAGACATTCGCATTCGGACGGGATTAGTTTTCTCAGAGGATCACTGAGTTTGCTGAAAAACAGTAGGTAATTTGCTCTGGAAGTCTTACAGAGGTTGTGTGAGAAAAACAAAGAACGTGGCAGATTCGGACGGGATTAAAATCACCAAGTACGTCTGTGAAACACAAATTTCTCTAACGACCCCCTGTAAATAGTCCCGTCCGAATAGGGCTTTAGTCAGTCATAAGTTTCTGATTAAAATGTCGCTCAGCGCCGCTTAGGCTATATAGGGTGCTTTCCCGCCCCCTTTTCGAGCGCCATTGGCTATTGTGTGACATAACCATTGGGTCCTTGAGAAGGGAACTATCTAGCCTACTAAAATGTTCATAAACAATGATGACACTTCTTTTGTTACTTTGTTAAGACAGGCAAAATTTGTTAGCACAGATACTTACGTTACTCCTGGGTGAAGGTTGTATTTCCTTTTTCCTAGCCTAGTTTGTTGCGCAAAGAAATCATACCGCTCCGACTTTTTCCACATGTAATAAAAAGCCACACAATCTCCGATAGACCTTGTTCTGACCTGAAATTGAATAAGGAAATTACAATAATAGGAAAAATTTTAATTTGAAATGCCACATCAAGTAGTCCATATACTTATCAACCAGAGAAAACTGCTAGGCACATTATTGAACCCCACAGCAGATTTTATTTTTCTAGTAATTACATTTGTAAATGTTGAATGTCAATACAAGAATGTGAAGGGGCAGATATGGATTGACATTCATTATAAGACTTTTTGCAAATCAAGTGATCTACCTACTGTATTAAACCTATTGTGATGAATGCCATAAAATGAGCACTACCTTGTTGGCCTGGATAAAATGAAAGTCTTTTCCGTAAGCCTTTAAACCTTGTTCAAAATTCCTACATTCTTCCTCTGTCCAGACAGATAGTTCCTCTATATAAAAGGAAAAAAAATTAGGACTGTCAGTGGATTAAACCATTTAATTGTGATTTTTTTTTAAGGAACACACACACACAC